TTTCCCTAAACACTATTATTTACTGTTAATTCCCAACATTCACAAAATATAAACACTGGTGCTCTACATACTTTCAAAGGATCACAATTAAGAAACAGGCAAAATTATTTATTTAAATAATAAATTGGTATTTATTCTGAAATATGGAAGTTAAATACTGATGAAATAAACCAAATTCCAAGATACTACTCCTTAATAGGCTGAACAGTGGGGAAGCATACCAATTTCTTTGAGAAATACCTCAAAATATTTTAGTATTCAGTTGGCTCAACTATTCTGGTTGTCTTTAAAAGCCACTTAAATTAATTACGATAAAGAGAAAAATAATTCCCAAACACACACTAAATTTCATGGGCATAAAGTGAAGGAGGGAAACCCCAAAACATATATAAGCAAGAAGAACCTGTTACAGAGCATGGGAAGGCACCTACCTCATGCACTAGAGCGAGTGAAGTCTGCTTGAAACTTCGCCCTCTATTGGCCATCAGTCTATTCAATGGTTTGCCATCTTTACTCTGATACATTGAAATATCATAACAAAATAGCATACCACCTTAAAAAAATAAAAAATAAAAACATTGCTTATGGCAAAACTCATTAATTAGGGTCTCAGTAATCCATATTCGATCAATCTGTATAGAGAGATTTAGAAATTAAAAGAATATGCTAAACAAATTATGATTTTTAACTTTGAATAAAAAAAAAGAGCTATAAGAAGTTACCATACTGAAACGATCACTTACTGACAAGCCTTATTCATTTGTAAATAAATGAGAAAATTTCAAATCATGTCTTATTTTAAATTTTGTGAACTGTTACTTCTAGAAATTCTATTAAGCTTTTCTTTAAAAACAAATTTCAATGAAAGAGAAATGCTTATGCATGTCAGTCTTTGTGAACTCCTGAAAATATGGGTTCCTTTAGTTTCTACCCATAAGTGGACTAGTTTTCCTTCATACCTGCACTCACATACATTCACTCTCCCTTTTTTCCTCCCTTTTCTAACATACTTTGGGGGAATTTTTGCAACTATGTTCATGGAAGAGACTGGCCTTTACTATTCTCTTCTTCTACTTGGTGTCAAGATTATGCTGATCTCAATCAAGAGTGTTCTCTTCTTTTTTTTTTTTTCTCTGTTGAAGTTTATAAAGACCACTGTTATTTCTCCCTTAAGTTTTTTGAGGACTTCACCAAGGAAACCATCTGCACCTAGGTTTTCTTTGTGGGAAGGCTGCTACAGATTCAATTTCTTTAATACATATCAAACTATTCATATAGTCTATTTCTCCTTCTGTCAGTTTTGCAAAGTTTTATATTTTGATGAATTTCTACATCTCATCTAAACTGTGAAATTCATTGGCTAAAAGTTCTTTAAAATATTCTTTAATGTTTTGAATGCTGTAGGGCCTGAAGTGATGTCTCCTTTGTTGTTCCTGATATAGGTGATCTATATTTCTCTATTTTTTTGTCCAGCCTTACAACAGCTTTATCAATTTTCTTAAACTTTTTTTTTAAACTAGCAGCGTTTTTAATTTATTTTTAACTTTTATTTATTTTTGGCTGCGCTGGGTCTTCGTTGCTGTGCGTGGGCTTTCTCTAGTTGTGGTGAGCGGGGGCAACTCTTCGTCATGGTGCACGGGCTTCTCATTGCAGTGGCTTCTCTTATTGTGGAGCAAGGACTCTAGGAGCACAGGCTTCAGTACTTGCAGCACGCGGGCTCAGTAGTTGTGGCACGTGGGCTCTAGGGCCCGTGGGCTTCAGTACTTGTGGCGCACGGGCTCAGTAGTCGTGGCTCGCAGGCTCTAGAGCGCAGGCTCAGTAGTTGTGGCGCACGGGCTTAGTTGCTCTGTGGCATGTGGGGTCTTCCCAGACCAGGGATGGAACCTGTGTCCCCTGCACTGACAGGCAGATTCTTAACCACTTCACCACCAGGGAAGTCCTCGTTAAACTTTTCAAAGAATCACCTTTGGTTTTGCTTATTTTCTTTATTTCCTGTGTTTCCTATTGCACTGATTTTTAATCCTATCTTTATTATTCCTTCCTTTATCATTTCTTTAAGTTTAATTCGCTGTTCTTCTCCAAGTTTCTTGAAATAGAAGCTTAAACTATAATTGTTTTCCTTTCTTCTTTTTTCAGTATATGCATTAAGGGTACAAATTTCCTACTAACACTGTTGTTGTTGGGTTTTCTACAGGTAAAGCAGATAATTTTTAATGAAATGGGTGAACTCGAAAATGGAAATTATAAGACTTCAAAAGATTTTTTGTTTTTCCCACCACCACCACCCCCGACCCCCGCTTTCCTTCCTTGGTGTCCATATGTTTGTTCTCTACTTCTGTCTCTATTTCTGCCTTGCAAACTGGTTCATCTGTGCCATTTTTCTAGATTCCACATATATGTGTTAATATACGATATTTGTTTTTCTCTTTCTTACTTCACTCTGTATGACAGTCTCTAGGTCCATCCATGTCTATACAAATGACCCAATTTCGTTCCTTTTTATGGCTGAGTAATATTCCATTGTATATACGTACCACATCTTCTTTATCCATTCATCTGTCGATGGACATTTAGGTTGCTTCCATGACCTGGCTATTGTAAACAGTGCTGCAATGAACATTGGGGTGTATTTATCTTTTTGAATTATGGTTTTCTCTGGGTGTATGCCCAGTAGTGGGATTGCTGGGTCATATGGTAATTCTATTTTTAGGGGTTTTTTTTTTTTTTTTT